CATGAGATGATCTTCGACAAACTGGAGAGATAGGTATCCATGGGTCTGTTGCAGTCGAGATCTATGTGTAAAGCTACATATGCAAGAGACAGGTCTGGCAACCTGTGCTCTTTGTGTCCTAGAAAGAAGGAGATTACCTGTCCTCTGTCCAGATGGAAGACAGCACTGTGCATTGTTCCAGATGTTCCATAGTTTATGCATTACAAAAGAACAAGATGGGATTAAAAATGGATGATGCATAGCATTATCATTCTATTTCAAATTAGTTTACCTAGTTTAATTCTTCTTTGGAAGGTAGTTACTTTAAAGTAAAATTATCATATTTGCTTTTGTTTTTTAAGGGGAAAATTTCCCCTGAATAGGTGACTATGACCTTATAGTGGACATTAGGAACAGTGATTTCCATAGGAAATGCCTATTATGGTTTCTAATACTACAGTTATATTCACATAATATGATGCAAGTTTGCATTTTGTGTCAGCAAAGGGAACAGATTCAAGGCTGCATCTTCAGGCTTAACATAGGCATCTCCTGTCTGTTTGTTTTGAGTGCTTAACCATGCTCTCCATGTAGATTTAATATGTAATACATATCAAGAGTAGTGATTCAAGACTGTAAATTTTTATTGTAAATTTCTTCCATATTATGTCTGGCCTCCAAATATCAACTGGTATTTGCTTGTGGATAAATGTGAAATTATTTTGTATTTAATTCTGGCTTTTATTATAAAACAAAATTATTTTTCCCCAAATTACTTGCTGCATGTGATATGACAGCATTAAAGAAATGTATGCTATTAGATTTTCTATCTTAGTCAATAGGGCCGTGGTCATAGTATTCGTGTATGATGCTGTTGAAAACTGTATGCAAGTTGGAAAGAAATCTGTTATGATGTGCTTTGTTGCTTCTCTTAGTTAATATTTTATCTTGGAAAAACTATCCGTTCTCTCCTTTCACTGAATTTAGGCTGCTGAACTAGCTGAGAGAGAGAAGTTGGAAAAGAACCAAAAAATGAAAGATGATATGAATGAAATTTCCAGCCTGCTTCAAGGAGACTTACTTTCTGAAAACCCTGAACAAGCCGTCAGTTCCTTTGGTAGACATCGTGTGATCACAGATCGATGGAAGGGAATGAATCAGGATCAGCTGATGGCAATCCGGTACTCTCAACAGCAACAAGTTCTGGAGAAACTGGTATTTAAGCTTACATGCATGTTCTGTATTCCTGGTTGTAATAATATTATAGATGATGTTTGCAGAAGAAAATATTATTGTTTGCCCTGCATGTCCCATTACAAGACTGTGTTTTCCATTGATCTGAATTTCACCCAAACTTTAACCAATCAAACTGAACACAGTGTGTCTGAAGCAGCTGGGAAATGTCACAGAACAGCAGGAGTGGGCAGCAGCCCTGGAGTTGGGCTGGGAGGACGGTTGCTGTGGAGCCAAAGGGGCCTGGGGGATCTTGGGGCATGGCCCATGGTGGCCCAGCTGAGGAGCAGGGTCCTGCACGGCCTGAGAGCCAGGCTTCATGGTGCAGTTTAGGCCTTGAGACTGCAGGAGATGCCTGCAAGGGATAAGCAGGAGTAGGCTGCTCCATAGGGTTAGAAGAGCCAGGAGTTAAGGGTGAGAGCAGGGCAGGCTGGAGCAGTGTTCTCATGCTCAAGGATACTCAAGGAAGACGAATAGAGCAGGTCCAGTGATCCTGCTCATGCATATTTCATAGCCTTAAAAGTTCATGAATGCAAGAGGATTTCCTTTCTACCATCCCACGCATCTGACCCATGCTCCGGGATAGAATTACAACAGAAAAACTAATATTGCTAATAATTGCTGCTTTAAAGGTGGATGGAAGCAGGCAGTCAAAATGAAGAAATCTACCCTTCCTAGGCAGTCATGAGGGTACAGGACTAGGTATTGTGAAGTAGGAAACTAATTACCTCCTCATTCAGTGTAGAGGCTGGATTCATAACAGCTAATGAATAGCTGTTCAATTTTATTTTTTAAATCCCTACAATACCATATACTACACTATGTCTTACCTACTGATGTTATTAAAGCTGAAGATAGAACTGTCATTTTCCTGGCTCTCCTATGACCTTAAAGTGAACCAATTCAGGTAGTTATGCTGGCAGAAAATGAGCCCCACCAAGAAAAATGAGTTTTTTGCAGGTCTCTTTTCTTGAGTCAGTTCAATGTGATGTCAGCCAAGAAGTGAGGAAATGGTAGTGTAACAGGTAGGGGCAGAAGAAAAAACAGTTTGGGTCTACTCATCTGGTGTTGGTGGCTAAGTTATTATGCTGAGTTAGCTGTATTATAAGCCATACTCGTGACTACTAACTTCTGACCTCAACAAGTTACAACTCTTGTTAACAAGAACTTAAAAAAAGAAAAACAACAAGCAAACCTATTTTGCTGCTCTGGGTTTTTAGAGAGAGCAAATATGTCAGAAAGAAATAGTAATTGACTGCCAGGCAGCAGATGCTAATTTTCTTACCTTGTGCAGAGGTAGGAGTCTTATCTTGCTCTGTGGAAAAGGATAGCTTTTTCATCTACAGTATGTTCTGCCTCATGCATGGGCTTCTACAATGCACTGGAAGGGCTTACTTTTTCTCTCTATTTCAAATGCTACCCCTAGCGTTTAGTAAAGGCAAGCAAGTTTGTTTGGATGAATTTACCAATTGGACTATATATACCGATTAATCTTTCAACAAAGAGAAAATGAAGCATTTTTTTCACTTCTGTAGAGACTAAAAGAGGAAGAACGCCGAAGAGATGCTGAATGGGACAGGCAAAGTTTACAGGCTGCACGAGCACAGCTGGTTTTAGAGCGGCATCAACAACGACAGAATCGGGAACATCGCCGAGCTTTAGATAAAATAAATGCAGAGCTATCTCAGGAGCAGAAATCAAAGTACGTACCAGAAGAGTTTTCTTTCAAATAAAACTATTTACTGTTAACACAATAGCTTGGCTTTCAAAGACCTTTTTTACTTGTATTGTTTGTTATTTTTTTTAATACACTTGTTATAAGTTTAAACTTTTTAAAAAATCAACAATTCAGCTTAAATGTGTTTTTCAGTACTACTTAACCAATCTTCAAAGAGTAGGCAATGATTGTTACTGACTTACATGTATGATTTACATGATTAGTAGCTGGAATTCTTAAGTGTTCCACTGACAACAGATGGTTTATATGGATAGGAAAATAGACAATAAATGCAATTAACTATGCAGAAAATTATTATTACCAGATGTAAAACAGTACAGGTTCTTTAAATTTACCTTAGTTTTCTGAAACAAAACAAGATGGGTATCAACTGGCTTCAGTAGAACTGCCAATTTCTGATGGCTCTGGGTTAAGCTAATGGCACAAACGGAGTTTTTCCATTATGTATGACAAAACTAGATGATTAGCTAAACACTGGACGTGTCTTGGCGGACAGGTCTTGTGTCTGCTCTAATGGGAAAGGAGGAAGATAATATGTGAAGGAAAAAAAATCAAACCAATGGATTCAGTGTTCTAATCTTCCAGTCTTTTTTTTTTCTCTCTTTTTTTTTTTTCATTATGCATGCATGCATACATTTTGCAAAAGAATTTCCAGTACCTGGCACTTTCCTATTTTGAAAGCAAACATTCGGAATTGTGTTAATTTAGGTTTTCACTGTGAGATTTTGGGAAGGTTATTTTAGGATGAAAAAGTTTGCTATATTGAGATGTGACATAAATTTTGGAGAAAAACATCTAGTTATATTTAATTCCATTTCTAGTAATTCTGAATTATATGAGCATTTATGAATGTGTATGCCTTACATCTTCTTTAGGTTTCTCAGGTTACTTCTATGTTATAATGAGAAAACATTTACTAACTGCATTTTTAAAAATTTATTTCTAGGAACATTTATCTTAAAGAAGAAGCATATTCAAATTTTCCAACGAGCCAGTATTATGCACAGTTTAATACAACCAGCCGATGATATTCTGGATACGTCAACCTGTAATACACAGAAGTATGTAGACATATTAAAATTTTTAATTGAGCAGTCCCATGTTTTACTATTTTTATCTGTTCCCTACCCTGTTCAAACAAGGCACTCAAACTAAAGGACGGTCTGCTAGGCCACATCTGTGCTAAGAAGAGGAAAACATTGTAATAAGTTTTTAAACTTGATTGTTCTTCTAAAAAGTACCAGTAGATTCAGTAGTAAGTTGTTTGACTATTGTGTCTCAGGCTTAACTGTAACATTTACATTATCTATCCGTCTAACATTACATTATCCATCTGTGTTTAGAAATCAATTTCTGGAAAGGAATCACAATTTAAAATACAATGCTACTTAACACAGCTTGGTCAGAGGGGAATGCTGCCTGACATAGATCACAGGTGATGTATGCCTAGCAGATTCTATAGGAGGGAAGAAAGATGTCCTAGGCAGAAAGTTTTGTGTGTGATTTTTGGAGAGGTTTCTTTGGTTTTTTGCGGGTTTTTTTGTAAGCAAAAAAAGCAGGACACAAAAGCAAGCAAGGAGGAAGAAATGGACAAGTTGGTTCAGAAGTATTGCTTTTATTTCCTGAATAGTAGGAATAAGAAGAGAGGATGTGGATATTTACCAAGGTGATTATAGCAATGAGGTATGACACAGAAATGGAATGTGTCTTATAGTAAGTGGGGAAAAGTATGGGAGAAAGTATTCCTGTGTATGCTGTCACCCATTAGAAATAATGGAGAAAATTTAAGGGCAGTGTGCTTCTGAAGGAGAGTGTAGGGAGTGTTTACAGATACAATGAAAGGGGTGGTGGGTGGGAGCAGGCATGCACCAAACAAAACCAAGGAGAAAAATCTCAGCTTGTGTGGGGTAATTCAGGGAAACAGTTAGCTTCCTGTCCTTATGGTTACAGAATTGACTTAGCAATGGAAGAACCAGTCAATGATATTCAAAAAAAGCGCGAGTGAAACACATGAAAAGAAAATAGGGATAAGCAATGTAAGAAAAGAGAAATGGATGATGGAAACATCCAGAAAATGAAATCCAGAAGGTAAAGAGATGACACACAGAGGACTGGAAAAAGGGTTGGAAGACTTAATGATGTAAAACAGAATGAGAGAGAGATGACCAGAGATTCAGCTAAACATCCAAGACCTCTAAGAGACTGTGAACCCTTAATAAAAATCAAGGCCATTTATGAGAATAAGTTTTGAAATAAGTATGTGTAGCTTGCCAGAATCTGGGATGTAAACTTGGAGTAGAAACATCATGATGATATTGGCATGGAGTCCTCTGATTGATCAGGATAAGCAATAACTTCAAATCCTGATGAAACAGGTTGAAGACAACTGCACCAAGCTAAGTAGGACAGATGTTTAAAGAAACTGAAGCTGAGGTAAATTCTAGTGAGTTATTCTCATCTTTGTGAAAATAATGAAGAATGCATGGTTCTCAAGATAGCTATTAGGAGGATTTTGAGATGTTTGAAGAAAGCATTCATTGAAAGGGGACTATTCAAACAAGTCTGTCTGCATTCCTTGAAAGGGGACTCTTTTTCGAACAGGTCTGTTTGCTCCGCTGAAATAGTGGCCCTGTGGGATCAGGCTGATATGACTAATTACCGTTTTGAACCAGGTAATAACAACAGAATTTTGGAAAAGACCATCATGTTAATCCCTCTAGATGGAGAGGAGGAAGAAAATCAAGAAAGGAGAATATAAAAATGAGTAAAGAAGTTTCTTGGGACAGGATAACCCACAGCAAAAAGATATGTCTCAGTTTTAGTATATTAATACAACTGGGATTAATTGCAGGATGGATAAAAACTAGGTAGAAAAGCAGTATAGCTGGAAAACAGAAACTGAAGAATATGCTATTCAGAAAGTTGGAACATAAAGCTGAGAGAGGATCACACTTGCACCGTTAATGATGAGCTGGACTACAAAGAAGTAAGAAGGGATGGTATTAAACAGATTCTAATGTGACAGCATTTGGAGATTCATTTATTTGTCAGGCTGGGATTCACGTGTGTGTTGATGTCTTAATAGTATGACCAAATACCGTATTAAATTGACACTCTCAGAAGTGCACATACTTGTCTTAGAATAGAAAGGCCATCAAATGGGGCGGGAGGATAAAACAGTAGGCTAACTATAGTAGTTTTAATTCAACTAGAGCGAGTTTTGATCTGTGTTGAATATCTCAAGCTCTGACTTTTTTTTTTTTAACTAACATTTTAGTTACCTGACAGAAAAATGAATAAAGAAAGTGTTGAAAAGTTTGTGAAGTTGTCTTCATTTGTCCAACCTGTGTGAGTAGGTATAGTGGACCTAGTCAGGTGACATTTGAGTTTCCTTAAGGAAGGACTATATGATTAAAGGCTTTTGTACTTTTACTGCTGAGTACTGAAATAAGTAGACAAGTTGATTTAAAAGAGCATTAACTGATTATAGGTGCTCTTTGAAAATGTTCATTGGATTACATTACTGAGGTAATATACTTTGTGATATTTCTAATAAATACAGTAGTGAAAAAGACAGTATCTTCTTTATGAGGATCTGGACAGCTAATTGGAATAAGTACTACTCACAGCTGTTGGAAGCAAAGGGCTAGCAACCGTCTCTTTAAAAAAAAAAAGTTCCATTTTTTAAACAATAAAAACTTTTTCAAAAACCGATTAAAAAGTTCCTAACACTCATCAATTCCTGTTACCGTTCTTACAATTAGCCAAATTAATTAAATGCAGGTCCTACAAAGTTGTCCACATGTTAAATGTTCTTCATGGAGCATCACTGAAGTAATTTGGATAAGATGTACGTGCTAGGATCTGATTTCAGGAAGGAAAATGATGATCAGTACCTATCATGTTTAAATTTGTATTTTAATTTTTTTAAACTTTCCTTGTATCATGGTTTTCTGCACTACTGATACTCACTTTGGATTAATAATTTGGGAAAAGGTATGTATTTGAAGTTTAAAAAAGAAGTTACAGTTGTTGAACTGAGTCCAGTATTCTACTTTTTCTTGGTATTTTTTTACACTTGTATTTTTCATAATTTCGTACAGTGCATGCACAAAAGCTTTTCACTTATTCCTAGAAGTAATTTCATATTAGAGACATTTTCATATTAAGCTACATTTCTTTGAATATTGTATATTATGTGATAGCTGAAATTTTATTTCCTTCTCTGAAGAGAGGCTAGCATGGAATTGATCTTTCTATAGCAACATCAAAAAAAAAAAAAAAGGTTCTAATACTATTGAATTCATGGATGTTAATGATAGCAACAAAATTTGCCTAGCTGATGTTCCTGAGGCTAATGATTATTCCCTGCCGGATCTATTCATTCTCTCATCTGTTTTTATCTAATGTTGTTGTATACTTCCTGAGTTACATCTGGGACATCCTTTTAACAATACCTACTAGCTTTTAATATTCAAAGTTTATACTTCTATAACGTCGTATATTAAACATTGACAGTATTATTTCCACACTGAAAAGGCAAGTATTAACTTTCATGAGCAGGTCACCGCCTATAGCTCATAATATTATTTCACTCATATAATTGTATTTCCTTTTAGTTTTGCTGTAAGCAAGATTCATGTATCAAAAAAGAGATTGGATCTAGAGATGAACATAAACAGGCAGGTAAAGGGGTGAAGAGTGAAAGTGGTATCAGCAGAATTTACATGCACCTTAGGAAAATGCAAGTCCATGATCCTGTTGGGCAGGATAATGGTGATTACTTTCAGGGAAAGAAAACACAAAAATACTCTGGCTGTTGTAGATGCCATCAATGTATGTTAAGTGACCTTGCTCCCTGCTGTGGGGAATTTCTCTGTCCGAAATCTGGAGCAAAGCTCTGACCCAAGGAAATTCTTAGTTAATGTAAAAGATTCTCATGGCAATCAGTGGGCTTGGATATGTTTGTAGTTCTTTAATGTTTGTATTAGATTGGTATAAATCTTTCTGTGTTTCACTGGAACATTAAGTAGCAAATCTAAATGAGATACACTGAAAAGTATATCTCACTGTTTGTGACAGAGCGCAAAGTGTGTAATTAAGTCTTCAAAATTATAGTAATTGGTGTGAGCAAATGAGTTTAAAATTCTGTGTATGGTTATCCTTCTTCCATTCCTTTCTCTAAAGAGGGACTAAGAAATGTGACAGAATATGTAACTAAGTTATCATCCTCTCTTTGATAGAGGAGTATTAGTTTCTAGCAAACTGTCTCAGGGACTTCCAGAGCTCTAGGTGGTTATTACATCCAGTAACTGTGATAGAAAAGTCTTAGACTTTTTGAATCCACATAAATTTATCATCCAGGATGTATTGTTGCAGACTCCATACCTTTTGTTTGGTTTTGAACTTGACATCTTGAAGCTTTATTTGGTGCTTGTTAATTGTTTTATGAAAACATTTTTATAAGGCAAACAGGAGTTACCTGTATTCTTTACAGTTTTTTAGACCTCTGTCACATCACCATTTAATCTTCCCTTTTTCTAGGCTGAAGAATCCTTAGTTGGTTCAGTTATTCCTCACTGAAAAGCTGTCACATAGATTTCTCAGTCCTTTTTAACCATTTCAGTACTTTTAATAATTCTACTATATAATCTTTTTGAGATGAGGGCATTAGAATATTGTGTAATAATGATATTTTCTATTTTATTCTATATTTTCCATAGTATATATATGTATATTTACATATAATCCCAATATCTTTTTTGTTTTCTTGGCCGTTGTTGAGCACTAAGATGCATTTCTATAGAAAACTATACTGTAACTCAGAGATCTCTTTCCTCAGTGGTATCAACTAGCTCAGGGCCACCAAAATACATATAAAATTTGGGTTGTGGGGTTTTTTTTTTTGTATGCATTACTTCGGGGGTTTTTTGTATCAAACTTCACCTACCATTTTGTCTCCCCGTCGCTCAGTATCACCTAAGTTCTTGTGCAGCTCTCCAGCTTTTTACTACATAGGTAGATTAATATGATCAGTAAATTATATTATCAGAATATTTACTTCCTTTTTCGGTATGTTGAATAGCATTTTACCTAGGACAAGGGCTTGTGGGACTTCACTAGTTATTTCCCTTCAAAGCGGACCATTCATTCTTGGCAACCTGTTACTGTCCATTTTGTTACACTGTTCTGTAATCTCTGTTAATTAACCAGTATGTTCCACATAATAAAGGATTCTGGTTTGGAAACATCCCTACTCTCCACCACTGTGAACACACAAAAAATTCTTAAATCTGTTTGCAACGACCTTATTTCTTCTGACTGCTGCTCTTATAAATTTCATCTCCTACAGGCTTCTCTTTCAGGTTACCTGCTACTGAGGTATTCAGAAACGAATACAGATTTTATGCCTTCACTTCAGAGATCCTTTAATTTTTTTTTTTGGTCTGTGTTATTAAGTTTTATATTTAACTTGACGGAGTTCATTTTTTTCACCGCTGCTTCTGACACTGACCACTGGAGGTAAGATGGTGTCCTTGAAAAAGTTTACTTTGTTTCCTAATGATGCTTGGGGAAGTTTTGTTCTCTCTAAGGTCTTGATAATGTTTAATTTGCTTACTTTTTTTTTAGTAGTTATTTTCTTGACTACAAATTTTCATAATCTCTAACAAATAAAGTTAAAAGATCATGTTGTTAAAAATATTTCCACTGGTTTTATTTTACTATATAGGTGAGAGAGAAAAAAATAAATGAAACAAACACACACACACACCCCCCTTAGCCTCGTGACAGTGGGCAGTTTATTTTCTTCCAAGAATGTATGAATTTTCCAGTTCAATCAGTTAATGTAAAGAAAAATAAATCTGCTGTTTTATTTGCTATTTTACAAGAAGATATGGCTAAGATATGACTAAGTTGTGATAATGTAATGTTATCTCTTTCTTCAACTTATAAAACTTAGGAAAGCCTAGTAAAAGTCTTGCAAGTATTAGTGAGCTTTGGATCAGAGAGAGTAAGCAAGCATCAGCTCTTTGTTGTTCAAAAATCAGAAATTACTGCAATTAAACATCACAGTAGCTAATCAAAGACAGCTTTGAAGTAAAATTTATGGAAGTAAAATTATTCAAGTTTGAAGTGTTATCTCCAAATTAATCAAAACATGCTGAGAAACAAAGCAAATTTTCAGTTTAAAAAACCCAACAGAATATCATAAATCCAAAAGGAGTAAACAGACCTTATAAAATAATTTCTTAGTGTTTATTCTGGCTCAAGTTTGACCCTTCACTAAGTTTCCTCATCTGTTGACTTGAGTAAAATGAACCTCTGCACTGTACTAATCAGAATTAAGCCTATTATATTACTAAATTTTGTATTTGTTTGGGTAAATTACATTCTATTTATATCATCGCAAGTCATTAAATTCTGTATAAATAGAAGAAATGTCTACTGGAAGAGTGCAAATCTTCGTGTGTAAGGTTGGTATACTAATACGGATTTTAAGGAGCTCACTTACTAAATTGCTGCTATTATTTTGCCAAGTTGCATAACAAGTATTGGAGACTCAAGTTAGTAGTAGTAAAGAGATTTCTGCTCTTGTAAACAGCCATTTCAAATACTGAAATATGATTATAGAATGAGAAAAAGCAATAGTTCTCTTTTTCTATTCTGTTTT